AAGGCAGGAAACAAGCCAATGTTTGCTGGTGTAAGTACATGGTAAGGGGGTCTCATGAAGAGCATTTCCATAGCCCTTGTGATACTGGAATTGCTCTGGGCATAATTCCATTAGCTGCTGCATGTACTACATCTTGAGCCCTTGCTGCTGCAAGGGGGAGATGGGCTCTCAGTCCTTTCCTGCCCCAGCTGCAGCCTACAGGAGGTAGAGGGGATGAGGAAGAGGAAGCTGTGCCCATTTGAGAAAAGGAAGTTCTACCCCAGGCAAACTGAGTCACTGAAGAATGGGGTGATATTCCTGATGAGCTACATTGGCCCTTCACACCTTCCTCCATCCTGACTGCAAAGTCTGAACCCAGATCTCTGTTGGATCAAAAAAAGAAACACAATTCAAGGACTGTTTTATACATAGAATAATTGAACAGGTGAGCTGAAGAAAATAATTTTTCATGGACTTCCTAGCTCTGAATTATGATTGCTGTGTTGTAACCAAGCAGTTCTTGCATGACAGAGGGAGGAGCAGATAAATACCAAGTAAATAGTATGTATGTTTCTCTAGAACAGTAGGACAAAAGAACTGCGTATCGAAAAGCTGTGTGTAGCACCATGATAAGAAGTGTCCAGATTTGCTTTAAAGAGAGGGTATAAGCTTTGGTCCTAACTCTCAGAAGGGGGTGCTATTACCTCATCTGATTTCTTTGTATTTTAGAAGTATATCTATACATTTTACATGCATATGTATGTTTATGGAAATCCACTGAGGTGTTAAAAGCAAGATAAAACATTTGTGCCATTTGCCCTCTGTTTTGGTTCAAGTTTGTCAGAACAATGATGACAAAGTTGCTGCTTTTTTTTTGTTTGTTTGTTTTAGTGACTTGCTAGTGCAGTATGCAAAAAAGAAAAAAAAGATTAGATTTCCAGCAATATGGGTTTCTTTTGAAAAGTATGAAAATCCATGAAAAAGGAAAACCTGAGGAACAAAAGGAAGAAAAGGCACAGAAAAATGGGGTATTTATTTCATACTGTACAGTGCTTGTTTAGAAAAATCTACAGTCTTGTGCAAGAAATGAAAACAATGTATTCGTACTGAGTGTGTATGAGAAATGTTGCGTTGAAATAAAAAGTATTTTATTAAGGAAAAAAAAATGATATTTTTAGATTATGTAATCTGAAAATTAAAAAGGTCTGGAACTGTTGTAGTATTACCACTATTTTTAAATTCCTGAAATTCATTGTTTGGATATTATAATGGACTTGTTAACTTCTTACATAATTTGGCCATTTATTTAATTTGCACCTGTAAATTAAAAACAATAGTTGTATATGTCCATCTTGGACACATTGCTAATGAATGTGACTTTCTTTCTTTTCCTCACACCTGCCTGCCTCTTCTAATGCTTAGAGACATGTCACTTCTTCCCTACCAAAGCCCTGCTTTGGAAAATGCTACCTGGAACTGGAGCTGCTCTGTCTTCATTGGGCAAGGCGGAGCTCAGGTACTCAGTACTCCAGTTAGACTGGACACAGCAAATAGTGAAAGCTGTGCAAGCAAAGGATCCTGCTGAATCTGCAAAACTCCTCAGCATCCTTGGCAGATACTGAGCAGGAGGGCCATGTGCCCTGGCAGGTATTCATGACTGTTCATGAGGGAACCTGACACAACTCGTTTATGTGCTGCAGCTGTACCTTTGAAGAACAGCCTTGCCCTCATGCTGCTGGTTTGCAGGGCTGTGAACTGTCTCTTGTATGAGTAGGTGACAATCCTGACCTAGGGGCAACTTATAGCCTTGATATTAACTTTAAAAAATTAAATGCCATATCCTGTGGCATTACAATTAACAGCAGGATTTAATTAACAGGATTTCTGTTTATTTGGGATTAAGGCCATGGTCATGTTCTGGGTTTTATGGGCGAACACAGACTCTCCTAATCTTCCCATAGTGTGGAGTACCACTTCCCAAAAATGCCTACAATACAGACTTCCTGCAAAAGCCATCCATTGACTTCAGTGAGTGCCTTGAAAAAGGAGAATTTTCAAGATGGTCCCTAGTATACAGTGACACTCTTTTGCAGATATTTGGCTCATGCCTCTGAAACAGTGTAAAACACAAAATCCTCTGTGTCATGAGAATTCCTCCTCCTAGGTTTCTTATGCCTCATCTCCATTGTGGTAATCTCATGGAAATGATTACGTAGAAAGGTGTATGAAGACAGTGTTAAAATGACAAGAAGACAATAACCTTGCCTTTTATTCCTCACTTATCCAGAAGTCACAGTTGGAGACTGAAGGCAGAAAGAACTGAGTGTGGAACTTCAGAAGAATGGTAGCAGCTTCTTACAAGTATTTCCCAAATCCTAGTCTTATGACTTGTTTCTTCTCACCAGGAATAAAAGATCACAATCTTTGATACCTACCTCAGTGTGAGCTGAAGTGCTTCTGGATATGCACATTTCTTTTCAAGATGAAAAAGAAATCCTAATTTTAGATCTAGGCTGATAACTTTTAAATGTTCAACCAGATGAGTCCTACTGCTTTTGAGATCCCTGTGAAGACAGATGAGCAAGTTTCAAGTGATTTTAACAAGCATTTTAGTTTGGTCCCAGAGAACTAGCTAGCAACACTTGACCATTCCATTTTTTCCTTATGCTTTCTAAGTGACTTTGTAACCTCTGTGTGTTGGAACTAAGCTAAGGCAGTAACTATTCACACACTTTATGTATACATATAAGCAAACATTCAAGTAGAAGCAAGGGACTACTCACATACAGTTAAACCCATAAACAAAGTTTTTGCAGGACCAATATTTGAGGGGGTTAGTTTATATGTTAAGGCAGTAAACTGATTTCTTCATATCTGGAATGTGCTTGGGATTCTGGACTTTCCTTGAAATGCACAGGGTGAACATGAAATGGCCATCTCCCAAGGACACAATGTCTAAAGAGGCAAAGATGGGTTTCACTTGACAAGCTCCTTGAATGCTCTTTCTGTCCTCATGTTAAGGGCCTAAACACTTGCTCCTACCACCTAGGAGCTGTGTGAAGCTAAATCCTACTCATATCCTGCACAGGACCTAGGGGAGAAGGGATGCTAAGCCAGGCCATGCCTCTTGAAGTACATGCTCCCAGAGGGTGCTTCTCAGGGAGCAGTGCATTCCTCCCAGTCTACACTTGGCTATGCCAAAAACACATGGTCCATTTGTTTATATGTGCATGAATGGCCACCCTGTCCTGTTTGAGCACCAACGTACTAATAAGCAGGTTAAGACAAAATTTTATGCTGATGAGATACAGTTAGTTAATAAAGAGGAAGTGATAAAATCAATGTGAAGTAAATTGTGTAATCTTCTCTCATTTTCTAATGGCAGTAGAGTATACGGTACTTGTTCAGCTTGCACACCTGCGTGTGGAGAGCTCTGATCCTCATCATTGACACCACTGAAGGATGCAGGAACAAAAGCTTACTGGAGCCCTGAATGATAGGTAGGGTGGCAGGAAAGGTAGATGGTGATTCATGTTGGAGAGGACTGATTCAAATCCTTGTAAGTACAACATGGAGTGCAACATCATGATGCCTTCTTATTGCTTTTGTAATTTCTTATAGCCATGACATAGTCTTAGACATGATCACCTTCGTGTTCTGGTACAGGCCACACAGCTCAAAGCGTAAAGCTGGCACAGCATCCGTTTTCCTGTCCTAGAGGAAAGAAGAATCATAGAATAGAAACATAGAATAGTTAGGGTTGGAAAGGACCTTAAGATCATCTAGTTCCACACCCCCCTGCCATGGGCAGGGACACCTCACACTGAACCATTTCACCCAAGGCTCTGTCCAACCTGGCCTTGAACACTGCCAGGGATGGAGCATTCACAACCTCCCTGGGCAACCTATTCCAGTGCCTCACCACCCTAACAGGAAAGAATTTCCTCCTTAGATCCAATCTAAAATTCCCCTGTTTAAGTTTGAACCCGTTACCCCTTGTCCTGTCACTCCAGTCCCTAATGAAGAGTCCCTCCCCAGCATCCCTATAGCCCCCCTTCAGATACTGGAAGGCTGCTATGAGGTCTCCACGCAGCCTTCTCTTCTCCAGGCTGAACAGCCCCAACTTCCTCATCCTGTCTTCATACAGGAGGTGCTCCAGTCCCCTGATCATCCTCGCGGCCCTTCTCTGGACTTGTTCCAACAGTTCCATGTCCTTTTTATGTTGAGAACACCAGAACTGCACACAATACAAAAGGATACCTGTTTGTATTCCATTTATTAGCTTCAGCTGCAACTCACATTGTTGTGTGCCTGTATCACATGTCAGATGGGACAAATAATTAGGCCCTTAATATCTGATGCCTCTTTACTACAAGGCCATGTTCTCCAGTATAGGTTGGTAAGACTGTGTCATAGAACAGTCCATGAAACTTAGTGTAAAAGTGATTTCAGATACCTTCCAGCGTTTTACCAGCACATAAACTGTTAGCTGCCACTGAAAATCCTAAGCTACAAACAATGGGAGATGGTAACCTCTTGTGCATAGGATTTAAAACTATAGGATCACTGACCTTGAATCATGCATGTAGCCTGGGAAATCTAGAGTTAAGCAGCTTGCAAATCCATAAAAGCCAGCCACCAGTCTGAAGAATAGAAACCTTCTTCTAGTTTTCCTGCTGATATTCAATGTTGTTTCAATCAAAGTACAGGTAGCACTTGAAGAATGACAGATCTTGTGAGCTTTATGTACCAGTATAATGAGATTATGTTTCATGACCCTATTGCATTTGACTTTTACATTAGAGAATATGATTCAGGAATTCATTTGAACAATCCACAAAAATATAAATGAAAAGATTTTTTTAAAAAATTGCTGGTTTCTCATTAATTGCACATTGTAACTGACTCACAGGAAAGGAAGAATCATAATGAAGAAAATCAGAAATAAAAAGGGAACTACAATCTTAATGCATATCAGTACTGAAAAAATTACAAAAAATATAATGAAAAGCATAGAAAAATATATTTCTCTTACTAGCTTTATTCTTATAATATTATCACATTTAAAAAATACAATTTTAGAAAAAAAAAGAACTATAGCTTTTTGCAGTGATAGGCGACAGGTCAGAAAAGCATTTCAGAATAATTTTACACCTTTTAACCTTAAAAAATACTTTGCTGACAATTGAGAAAGGGCCTTAAAAGAAGCGCTGATAGGCATTCTCACAGCAGGGTTGCCATGTCCCATCACATAGCAGAGGGTTTCTGCATAATGTATCCTGTAATAAGAAGTGTACTGCAAATCACAAGGCTTGAGTAGCAGTTTTAAGAAAGTAATCCTTGGCATGAACTGCTATTAGTGATGACACTGAAAGTTTGTTACGTAAAACTCTTCAGAAGACACAAAGAAGGTAAACTGTTTAAAATTTTGATTTGAGCCATGAAAGAACTACTTTATCATAGAAATTTGTCTGCATTAGAATACATATTTAGTGTTCTCTGTTTTTTCATTTTGCTTATGCTTGGACAGGCTTGTTAAACAAAAACTGCAGAGTTTAGTTAAATGAATGTCACTTTTCTCTCATTCTGCGCCACAAATGGTAATCGTTCAAAAAGTGTCTTAACAACTACTGGTGTTAATTATGAATGCTAATACAATCACTGATCTCTGAGAGTCCCCATGTTGCAAGCCCTTTACAAATGGGGTAAAAAACTAAAAAAAAAAAGGAAATAATTCCAGTATAACAAAGACTAAATCAGTCCATCAAAGCACAGAAAGCTATATTCATGTTTGAATAGCTAGACTAATCAAAGTGGGATATGAATCTAGAAGAAACCTTGTTGAAATTAATTTTATTTTTGTCTGGAAATGTAAATAAAAGAAAACGTGAAGGGGCCATTTCCAGGCAAGTTCTTTTCAGTGTTAATGATGCAAATCAGAGAAGTTTCTCAGTCCCTGGGGAATCTTTTTGTCTTTCTCATTTCCATAAGAATGATTTTTAGGTGATTAAAATAAACTCTAATGGAAATAAAAATTCTTTATACTTTTCTCACAATACAGTTTAGTATGTATCTAAAAAAAAAACAGAGTAGGAATTGACTTTAGAACTACAATAAAGCTTCCAAGGAGAGGATTGGTCACAAAATGGTTTTGTATTTCTAATGGAGACATTTTTGGTTGTCTTTAATAGTATTTCAGAGAAGTTGCAGTCATCTGAAAGCTTGATGTTTTAATGTATCTCCAGCATTTTCTCAGCAGCTCCTAATGGGGAATGAAGCATTTCATTGTGTTACTTTCTAAGTGAGTAGTATGAGAAATGGGCATCCACATAATAATTAAAAATTTGGCTTGCAATATTTTTAGCAAATAGATTTTTTTCAGAGCTAGGTTCTTCTTGAATGTCAAGGACTGGACAGATAGTGAAATACTGGAGAAGCATTGATAATTTTAAATTACTTTTAATCCCATTTTTCCTCCAGAAAGAAACTACTGGAGTGACTCATTAAGGGGCTGCTATTAAACTGTAGCTTTGCTATAAACTCTGTTTAAGGCAGGATACACCACATAGTGAGTGGTTCAGGACTGACTTTACTTTCCTTCTTTTTCCAGGGAGCAGGAAATGGCAAAAATGAAGATTAAAGTAGTTCATGTCACTTGCACATCCAGCACAGAGAACACCTCCCTCTCTCCCATGCGGGCATGTAGGGACTAAACAATGCTTTCCCCTACCTTGACCTACTCTGCGCCAAGTAAGCAATGTCAGACTCTGCTCATGCACACACACATGCACATGTGTGCACATAAATGTGTGCACATGCACACCTTCTTCTTGTGCAACAGAAGAAAGGGATAGCCTGCAGAGGAGTTGGATGAGCACCAGTCCTGCCACCCAGCACAACTCACCTCCATGCTGGCTGGAGAAGGCAGATAGCAATAATAAACATGGAGGAAGCTCGTGGCACTTTATGCATGTGCAGGAGCTGCTGCTGGGTTGCATGGCCAGAGGCGCGGAAGACGACAGAAGAGGGAGTATGCTCTTGTTTTCCAGGCAGTGCTCAGCAAAAGCTCTCCATCCTCATGTTCACTAGTTGCTATAAACTGCTAAGGCCCAAGCAAAGAAGAAAGACGGTCTCTTGGGTGTGCTCGCAGCCACGGTCTCCAGTGACAACAGAGTAGAAATGGAGAAGAGAAGCTGTACAGGGAGGCTTGAGGGAGGGGGCACAACAGCACACCAACTCTCTGTGCTAGCCTTGGCACATGCACTCTTGTAGGTTTGACACCATCAATTAGGGAGGCTGCAGCCCTTCAGGAATTTCACACAGAAATGTTTTCCCCTGAGTCCCCTCTTCAGCTACTAATGAGCCACCAAGGAGACTTGAGTTATCCCCAGCACTGCTTGGCTCCTGGGTCTGGGCTGTGGAGGAACAAACAGAACTCTAGGGCTGCGGGGCAGGAAATATCTGTCCAAGGCAGATACACAGGTGTCTGATGCCTCTGTGACTGTGGGAAGTGATTGCCTCCTTGACCCTCCCATAGCTGCCAGCAGAAGACTTCCACCCCTGCCCCAGCCTTCCCCAGCTCTGAAGAGGCGCACCCACAACTCCAAAGGGGAAGACTCATAAAATGTTCCTGGCTGTGGTGAAGTCAGAGGATTGCCAAGCTCTGACATGCAGCAGATATGAGTCAAGGGCCACAGAATATAAGAAGGGATCTAAAATCTGAAAACAAAGCAAAAAAATGCCTTTTAATCAGCAGTACTTTTAAGTACTTTCTGACATTGACTTTTAACTCTTGTCTGCTGTCTGATATTAACATTAGAAATGTGGTTGTCTCCAAGCTGTTGTCCAGATCCTGAAGACACTCCATTTTTTGTTTCCTTAATGTTGAGAGTCCCACTGAGTCATCTGAACCCAAGATCCCAAGCTTTCAGAAGAAATACTATACACCTGACCAAATCATGAGCTGTGGCAGCACCACCACTCCGTAAGTTTAAAGCCACTCTTCCTCTTTGTGTTTGAGTGAGGTAAGGACCAAATTCCAGGAAAGATCTTTGAAGCCTTTAAGGGGAAAAAATAAATGCTATGGGAAACTCCTTCCCACCTCTCACTCCTCCTCATAGCAAGGTTCTGTTCTGTATGTCATGCCCCTTCATCCCCAAAACAGCTTGCACTGCTACTGTAACCAGCAGGGAGATCGGAGTAAGGTGCTCCCCAAGGAGCCAGCTCCTGAACTGCAAAGGGCCAGCCTTGTCTGCCTGTGTGCACATGCTTGTGCACCTCCCTCATCATGGTAGGCTAAAACACTTCTTCCAAAGAAAATAAATAGCATGCAACTCTAACTCTTGGACGCAACCAGTGGTTTTTGTAATCCTTTTTAAATGTCTACTGTCAAGTACATTTGCCCAGGATTTAGGAAGCTCTGGTCCCTCCCTTTTCTGGGATGATTCTATGACCTTGTAGCTTGGAATCTACTCATGTTTCAAGGAAAGATCTGAAGGGTAAAATCAGCCTTGTCAGCACCTTTCCTGCTGAGGACATGCAACTACAGAGAGCTTGGGCTCCCCTTCAGGAAGAGTGAGATCTGAGATTAATTTCTCTCAGACAGAGGAAAGATTGCACCTAAATCCCCCATTTCCTAGGGAAATAGAAGAGCATTGCAGATACTGGACAGATACTGATGCAGAATTTTACAGGGATCCCAATCTACCCCATGTGTAAAAGGGCATCTTACACACCAGATAAGCAGCTTGCTCAGCCTGCTAAGCCCTTTGCTGGTTGCAATATGAACTCCTCTCCCAAAATGGTCTGGGCTTGGAAGGCATTACGTGGAAGGGAATTTCAATATCAACTTATAAGAATCTCATTTGGTCTGGGACTCATTGTGTCCTGGTCTACTACTCACATGCCATGTTGTCAAGTGACACTTTGCAATGCACATCACGCAGTTAGGTACAACTCCAATGCGCTCTCCTTTTTGTCTTCAAAATGTAGCATTATGGATTGCAGCCTAGTAGATGCCAAGCAGAGATGGAGCCTTTTCTGGAAAAAAGGTCCAGCAGACCTGCAGAAACGATAACTGGGAACCACACAGTGACATGAACTGGTGTGGAAATGCTGTCAGCTCATCGACTCAAAAACCTGTTTCAGACCATGCCATCTGCACACCTCATGGACTGCTTCTAGCCAGTGCCTTCTACTGCTGCTGTAGGCCTGGACAGGACTGCTTCTCCTGAAGCCCCATGAGCTGCTGCTTTCCCTCAGCAATGGCTATGTGCACACTTGTCCTGCGGTGTGGCTGGGGCTAAACGGGATGAAGTCAGACTGGGATGAGCCTTACAGTCAGACACAGGTTGCAAGAGCATACACTGATCAAGAGACAAAGAGGCTCATGATGTCTGCCCTGTCCATTCCCTGTGTTCATCTGAGCCATTCAGTAATTTCTTTGTGCCATTTTCATGGGAGATATTCCCACATCCTTAGTGGATGACAAAATGCGGTCATATGAGAAAACAGTTGGTTGTAACACAGACTTTGCTTTCCTTACCCTCTACGTCAAGATGGGATCAAGACTTTCCCCATGTGAACCCCAGGAGTATCTGCAAAGCAAATTGAAAGAGAAGCTATTTGCCAAACTACTCTGCTTAGGGCAGAAGAAGCAAGTGGCTGTCATCTTTTAGAGAAAAATGGGACAATCCCACAAAAAACTACTGTATCCTCAGGGCTAGACAGCCTCTAAACAGGACTTACAATTTTGAATTTAGGCCCCCTGTTTTTTCAAGGGGCCCAAATCCCACCTAATTCTGCCAGGGGTATGTGGAAGACCCTCCTGTGGAGAGCTTCAAGTCACAGACATAGTAAATACTCACCAGACTTTATGGTATCACTGGAATGAAACATGTTCTCATCCAACAAAATTGCTTCTAGTGATCCTTTTATGGTTTTCTACGGAAGACCCTCTTTAAATTTTCCAGGCAATCCTTTCTGGCTAGGTCCTGCACACCTGTTATATCCCCCAGAGAAGTGATATGAGCTGGGATAGTTCTGGTGAAAGGTGCAATAGGATTGCTTTAAAAGTGTCAGAAATGTATGTTCAGAAATGTGAATCTTTCTTCACCAAAACCCCAAATTAGCTGGGATAAGAAATCCTGTTATAATTATATAACAAGTTCATTAATCTGGAAGAACCATTAAAAACCTGCTAATCCTAAAAGATAATCCTAAATGCAACCACAATGCATTTAGATTTCAGTAAGGATAAAATATACCCCAGAGAACAAGAACAGGAAGATCAGCCTATCATCTCATATTTGAAGAAAGACATAGCTCTGTTGATTTCTCTCTGCTCCCAGGTATTCATTCACCAAAAGAGGAATTCTCAAGAGGAAGCTGTTGTTATTGTGTTTCTCTCTGATGTTTCCTTACCATAGCCTGTAATGGAAGAGACTGGAAATGCATCATACATTTGCAGTGGTTTTGATGGGTGCTTTTGACATTTCCTAGGGGAAAAGGTAGACACTGAACAAGCTGCGTTTGTGGTAGGGATGGCATTTGGGTTTGCTTTAGAAATTCAGATTTAAAGACCCAAATAAGTCTTTCTGTGTCTTGGATGAACTTCACTCTTACTTTTTGGTCCTTGGCAACAGCACCTCAAGCCACACAACCCAACGCTTAGAAAATTCACCCACATCCCGAACTTAAAAGCCTTGCTTGCATTAGGTCTGCAGCCTCTCAAAAAGTTGTCTCGGGAAAGATGCCCCCTGCCCCTCCTCCTCCTCCTCATCCACCCTGAAGCAGGATCCATTGTCTCTTGGCAGCAAGGCATAAAGGAGTTAACGAAGGAGCCAGCAAGGAGGTATGATGGGGTGATGTCAGAATATTTCCAGGGAAAGAATGTGTTGGGGGCGCTGGCCGGGCGCAGGGGCTGGGGCTGGCGGCCCCCAGCCCCACCCCGACATTCTTCTTGTCCGGTTCCCACAGGCGGAGAGTGGCACGGGGGGTCAGAGTGGACGAGCACAAAGGGAGACCCCCTGCTGCCAGGGCCATCGTGCTGGGCTGTCACTGCTACTAATTCATGACTTCACCTTTAATCTCACTGATCCATTATAGGTTAAAAAGAGACCCATTTTACAGCTGACAAGATTGAAGGGAGCGCAACTCAGGACCTGGGCGGGGGGAGAGAAAAAAATAAGGGAGAGGAGAGGGAAGGAGAAATAACCCCCGCCAAAGTTTGTACAATTAAGACCCATCTTCTAAAAACAGATTTTGTGCATTTTTCTTATCCTTTCCCTTGATTATGAAGATATATATTTTATGAGGTAAGCTGATAAACACAGCTAATCCAGAATTTTAGCACATGGGGTGAGAAGAAAAAGGAATGGGGAGGAAAGGGGAGGCCAGGGAAGGAAAAAGAGTAATATTTTAGGAGCACGGCTGCACAATGGAAAGGAGGGGAAGCATTGAAATGTGTGCTTTAGAACGTGTTTGGTGAGGTCATCATGGGGAAATGACTAAGAAATTTATGAAATGCTGATGTCAAAGGTAAGCTGATAAAATCGACATTGATTCAGTAGAGTAATAAACATATGTGTGTGGCACTTACAGCATGTTTATAATGACACAAATACTTAATGAATTCTCAGAAATCATTAGTCCTACTGTGCTGTGGGCTGTAGATGAAGTCTCCAGAAGTAATTCTGCTTTTTATTTTCATTAGTAGGACAATTGCTTCCAATTTGTACTTTAACAAACATTTTTACACTGTTATGTTGCAGCAACTAAAATGTGTGTTCTCAGTGAATTTCAGAAAAAAGCAAATAGGAAAGAAAACAGGAAAAGAAAGTTTCTAAAAAAAAAAAAAACTGAAAAAAAGTTACTGAAAAAAAAAATTGCCATAGACCTGTGAAATGCTTGCAAGAATTTTTTTTCTTTTTAGCATATAGCAAGGAATTCAACATTCTTGCATTTCCTGGTCTTGTCCTACATGTGTGAGGATTCTGTAGGTATCTGTGTGCAGCGCTAATTAAGGGTGCGGGGGTATCGATCCTTAGGGGTTTTGCTTTCTCTATGTGCTCTTTGACAAAAAACTCCAGAAGCAGTTTTATTTAGTCCACCAACCAGTTTATCTCTCCTATTTCCCTGATGGTATCAGACAGCACTGAAGCCCAAGAAAGGTGATTGTTAGTGGATTCTCACTGTCTTTTGCCCTTGAACAGCTGGAACCACATCTCCTCGGATTTTGCAATGTAAGTATGTATATTTATACTGCCAGACATGTACAGTTTTTGTGTTTGCTATGGCACCCTATTCCTTCCTTTCTTCGCTCCCTGCAGAAGAGCCCTGGGAGTCACTAGCATTGTGATTTTGTGAGTGCCCTGCTGCTATGAAGTGATGGTGGAGAGCAGGGAGGGTTATTGTAAGGGTGCAAATCACTGTCTGAAATTTGCAAAGATTTGGGGGTTTCTGGGATTCCTGGACAAAGTCTTTGAAGGACATCAGCTGCCAGCATCTTTTGTGGGAAGATGCAAGAGAGAATGGGGACCTTCATATGAGGCACTCTGTCAGCTGAAGTCAGTGATGAAAATTCTATTGAAAAGAGCCTCAGATCAAATAAAAACCTGATTTCCTAAGAGTGACACTGCCTGCAAATGGAGGCAGATTGAGGCCCGTAACTGGCCAGCGCTTTGGACACATTCTGCTTACTTTAGTCACACAAAATGACGTATTGATGCAAGTTTCCAGGATCCAAACAGGCAGTCCTTTCATAGGCAAAAGCCCTAATGAAGTCACTGGCAAGCAGCCTTGCTGGCCTAAGGCCTGCAGGCTATTTCTCTAGTCAATACACTAGACCTAATCTTATACCTCTTGAGCATCAAACTCCATGTGTATTTTCTGCAAGTATTTGTTCTCTTTCTGCAAAAGTGCAAGATTTGTGTGCTGTGGAGAGCAGTGTCAGTGAGCAGCTGCTTTTCCTTCAGCATGAGTTGTTCAATATATAGACTTCATTTGCTACTGCCTGGGCAAAACCAAACTGCAGTGCTGAGGCACGGGACAGCGAGGACTTAGACTGCCAAATACAAACCTCCTATTTTAATATGGAAGTGTATGTTTGAAAACAAAAAAGGGATTAAATTGAAAAAGAGGCTTCAGAGGATATTATGAAAATATGGATTTAACCTGATAATCTTCTGAATGCTTCTAATTTAGTAGAACACATTAACTCCTCCTGTAAGGTGACTGCAATCAATGGAGCTATCTTAACAATGAGTGAGAGTTATCTTGCGGAGGGATTTTGTTAGCTCTTTCTAAGTATTGTCATTTCAGCTTCTGATCAATCAGCTGAATTTGTTTTCTCATTTCTGAATGTGTGAGAAATATAGATTGGAATTGCAACTTCACATACTACCTTGGTTCCAAACTATCATCAAACATGAAAAAAATCATAAGGATGTTTCTGGGGGATGCTTTGTTTTAGGTGTGGAACCCATGTTCTTTCTTTCTGAAATTTTTGAATGAAATCTTTCCCACAAGCAAACATTATAATGTGCTGCTCAGGTAATAAAGTAAAAAGCAGCTTTTAGAGCCAAAAAATTGTCATCTTCTTGTCCGCACTCCTCAGAAAATGATAGAGTGAATAAAATCCTTCTCAGCTAAAACATATTTCTTCTAAGTTGCATAAAGCTTCTGTAATGCACCTGCAGGCAGGGTTCAGAGGGAGCCAGGAAAGCAACCTCTGTCTCCTTTGGCTGAATTGAGGCTGAACTGGATGGCAACAACTTGGCCTGGAAGTAAAGGAAGAGGGAAGGGAGGCTATCCAGATTACTAATTAATTATAAGTCCTCCCTGTAACCATGTCCCTTTGCAGTTCATGCAAAAAGACCCGTAAGTCTCTGCCTCTGGCTGCTCCCACCTCTGGCAGCTCAACAGGTGGGCTCACAGCTCAAACTCAGACCAGAACTGCGAGGATGAGCATTTTGGGAAAAGTACACTATGAAAAATCCTCAGGGGTGGGTATCTCTCCCTCAGGAACTCTGAGAAATGGAGCTATAAAGGTAGCATGGTGCACCTTTTGAAAGGCAAGATTTCGTAGGCTAAAGGCAACAGAGATTGTAATTTCATGAGAGAAAGGATTTAAGTCTCAAGCATATCTGAAAACATAGCCTTTAAATATTTAGCTGTCTCTGGGAGATAACTTCCTTTGACAGCCTGCATCCATGTCATTTTCATACTTGATATGCTATAAATCAATCCTTGATATTTGATGACAATCAACTAATACTGGTCTTTATCACAACAAGCTCACAGTACCTCATTCAGCATACTCAACAAGTTCTCTTTCTATCTCCTTTTAAAACATGAAACTAATCCATTGTAAGCCCCATAACAAGGAGCCACTCACAGAGTGAAAGTATAAGCAGTGCAGTCTTAAATTATACTGTACTTGTCTCATTACTTCTGTCATTAAAGCCACAGGTATGAAAAGATGTAGAGTAGGATTTTCCTGGTGCTTGCCAAGGGAGTTAGTAGTGCATGGTTTAATTAAAATGCATTATTATACCAGGGCCTTTTCTTTTTTAAAATGAAGTCAAGGACCCTACTGAAGACAGGGACATTCATGCACCCAAATCTGTGTCAGTGTCCTGCTGGAATTGAAAGCTTTTGCACAAACATCTGATTGTAGAGTCGGAATTCAACAAAGCAAGAAGAAACAGGCTGAAGACCAACTACCTAAATAGATGCAGTGACCTAGAGGGTGGGAAATGGAACTGAGAGAACAATAAATGAAGAAACAATAAAAAAGTCAAGCACTTATTCAGGATTCATAAGTACAAATGTTGCAGTTAAACTATTACATGCATGAAGTGAAAAAATTGATCCCTTCTCTTCATTTATTTTTGTTTTCCTCTCCTTATTTCTTTTTTTTCAGTTTATCAATACCACTGAGAGAATTCTTGCTTGCAGTGGACTAAAAGAACTCCAATTATGAGATGCAAATAGTGAAGGTACATGGGAGCAGCAGGACAGTAAGGAGTACTCTTGACTGGCTTTGGGAGACCGCACTGCATTCAGAGAGCAATACGTTTCATGCACATGGTGTTGGAAATTGTTGGTGCAGAAACATGACCCTCCTTTATTCATTTCAC